AAAAAATTGTAAGGTAGTCCGATTAACATCTAGTGACACGCTCCTGGGGATTATTTATTTATTTTCTGTGGGGAAATTATAACAGAGGTTACCGATGATCATAGTACGTGGATGGCCCGAAGGGCCATCCATGTGCTATGATCATCGGTAACCTCTGTTATAATTTCTACTCCCCCAGGAAATAAATAATACTAATTACATATTATAAAATACATATATTCGTAGTATTTTATAAAATTTAAGGTATATTTTTACGTAATATAAAATAAAAGCTTATATAATAAAATTTTTATATAGGGATCCAAATTTTGTTACGCCAGATTTTTAAAAGTCTTTAACCCTAATTACTTAGTATATTTTTGAAAAATAGTGTTAAGCACTATAGATATATTTTAGTAAATTTGAAATTTTAAACTATTCGTATTGTAAATTTATATATTTTTAAAACCAATTATTTGACAAAATAATTAGTAAAAATACAATTAATTAGATAAAAAAATTACATTTATTATAAAAACGCATGTTTTTTATAAAAATTTTTCATGTTAGTATTTAGGGTTAGGGTTTGGGAGGGGCGTAGAGCATTTTTACTTAGGATATCTTGCGTTGATTAATTAGGCAATTTTTGAGATACTGTAATATATACATAGGTGTAAAACACCATAGGTGCGTTTTAATAAAAGTCAAAAAATTAATACCTTTATACAAAAAGCAAAATTTTTATTAAAATTTTTAAAAATTAAAATTTTAAAAATTTTAACAATATAATCTCTATCAAAATTCACTTATTATCAAAGTTAACTTTAAAGAAAAGCTAAAAATTTACTCGAAAATTTCATATTAAAATATGTAATTTTAGGAGTGCAATTTGGGAAATAATTAATTTGATTGGTTGTAAACCTTAATAATTTTAGTCAGATACGTGCGAAATTTTTTTTTTAAAATTTTTTCTTTTATTTTCTCATTGTAGAATTGTTTAGCTTAGAAAATATGACAGATTTTAGTAATGTAGAAACGAACAGAGATTCAACGCTACTTGAAGGTTTAGCCATTAATGGACAATTAACTCTTAACAAATTAATTAATACAGTAGAAGAAATATTTGTCACGCTAGCAACCCAACCTCTTCAAGCGAAAATACCGAAAAAATTCAACAAAAAGTAACCGAAAGTCGAAATAAATATAAAAATGTTTCAGATGAATTGAGTAATATAATAGGGCAGATTGAGACAAAAAAACAGAAAGAGATTTTAACGGTAAACCATTATTTTAAATAAAAAATAAAATTATTTATATATATATATATATTTCTATAATATATATATATATTTTTAAAAGGAAAGTAGTATGGAAATAACTGAAACAGAGAAAGACCGTGCAATAAAAAACCTAATTGAAACGCGTGATACACTTCTTCAAGTATATTCGAACATTTATTATTATTATTGTTTTTATTTATTGATATAAAGAAATGGGTTCCTTTAACACTGATAATAATCATAGGAATCGGAAACGCAAAAGAACCACCTAACAGAATTACTTAATCGAACCTATGAGTTACAATTTCTTATACAAACACTATTGGCAAGTAGTGAACAACAGGAAGTTGTGCCCGATGCCTAGAGTTAATAATCTGAAACTGTTATATAAACAAAAAATAAATTTCGCATACATACATACATACATACAATTTTATCAGCATATTATAATGAAATATAATAAGTGAAAATTAGCAAAATCCGAAAAACAAGAATTTCAAGAATATTTTTTGTAGTATTAGTATAGAAGTTAATTTAATACAGTATCCTCAGCAAAGATTTTATAATACTTTTAACAAAGATTTTAACACCATATTTTATGTTGAGGGAGTGCATATTTTATGCATGGCGAATCTCGGGTAAAATAACCTATTATACTAATGACAAAGAAATTAATGACATGTATCAGGTATGATACATATGTATCAATCATTTTTTGTCATAGTGATATAGATAGTATATAATCGGAAATTTTACCCGAGATTCGCGATGCAGAAAAATATGTTCTCCCAATGCATTTTAGATGTACCCCTAGCATAAAATAAGGCAATAGCGGTGGTTAAGAAGCTATCAATCACAGTTATCACAATTTACATTTGAATTATTTGAATTAGGATTAACGGATGCATTAATCATCAAACTTAACTAAAAGCAAGCAAGCTCCATCCATAGCTACAGATTAGCGCATACGTAAATATCGATAACTGATACTGTAAAGAAATGATTCATACTGTATACATTATTGAGAACACATTAATAAAGTAAGAATCATCATATTGTATACATAATTAAGAAACAAATGTATTAATAAAACATACTTACATTATTAATAAGAAATAGATTAATAAAGCAAAAATAATCGTACTGTACATTATTAATCATTATTAAGAAAAGATTAATAAGTAAAACTTATATTAGTCTTATATTAGTCTTATATTATTAATTAAAAAACATATTACAGTAATTACAGTAATAACGATAAAGCAAAGATGTTGAATGCCACATACGTATGTAGGTACGTACGTTAATGAAATTGCTAAAAGCGAACGTAAACATACACAAGAAATAATTGGAAGGATGCAAAACGAACAAAATCAAAAAGGCTTAGATATTGTTAAATATTCGCGCCAACTACGTCATTTTCTAAATAGGATCATTGTATGACAATATAGTACTAAAAACAGATTATATACTATATCGATATTACGATATTACAGTATTTACAGTATTTACTGTATTCAATCGGATCATCTCATCAGCAGACTTGAGGAAGAAGTATAATAATATCGAAAAAATTGTACCAGTACGTAGCGATAGATAAAAAAAAATTCAATCTACGATAGGATTAGACATATTAGACCTGGCGATAGATTTAGCCCCCAAAAAAATAGTGAAAGCTGGTTAGTGAGTCAAATTTAACGAATTTATATAACTAAAATCATAGAGATAGATGGAAATCAAGATATCATGTGATCTATAAATAGTACGTATGTGTGTGTTTTTACATTACTGCATTAATAACATTAATAACATTAATAACATTAATAACAATGCTTTGTAGCTTTGTATCAAGTTTATCAAGTTAATAGAATTTCTCAAGACTGTACCTCAAAGAATTGAAAGTGATCAAGTGATCATGGCTATAAACAAAAACGAATCATATGATCAAACAAAAATGAATACTATAATCTATTTGGTTATTTACCGTACGATGTGTGAAAGGTTTAAAAATTTCAAAATATCACATATTCTAATGAATCCAAAGGAAAAGCGTGTTATTGATTATTAATGTAAAATTTAAACATTTCCATTTTCAGTAATTAATGATTCCCTATATTGAAAATATGTACCCGATAATTTGTATTACATACGTACAAAATTATAAATTACAGAATTAGATATTAATAATAATATTAATAATAATTGATGGTTTTTATTTACAGTACGAGTCATTCAGTATATTCAGTACATTCATACACTTTTTTTGATCGAAAAGGATGTAAAACATAAATTTAATTCATAATAATAAATAGATATATACAGTATTAAAGCACAAAACTATAGTTTGTGTATAATTATTTGATCAATGATATTTTTTAAATAAAACTAGCATACAGTAACAGTATACTTTAATTGTATACTTTAATTTAAATTCAAAGTATAGTAAGTACAGTAAGACAGTACGCACTTTACCGTACGTATGTACAATGCATTTTTGTTAAATAAAACCTTATAATAATTAAATCTTTTTTTTATTTACAACATATGTGCATATATGATGCGACTTGATAAATACATGTTGTTTAATAATGCGGGAGATAATGAAGGTTAGATAAGTAAGTATATACATGTACAAAATTAATGCGAAATTCCCACCTGGAAAAGTTATCAATGGTGAACTATAATATACACACACACAGACATACTGTATAATAATTAAGTAATTTGACTAGAATTAAAGATCTGCAAGGAAAAAGAAGAATCTTGAATGCTAAAAACAAAAAAAACTGTAAAATCTTGACAAATAATATTCGATATATGATATAATCATCGTTAAAAGTTTTTTTAAAAAGTTCTGAGAAGATCAACAATTCTTTACAACTCGGAGACCTGTATTCAAATTTTTTTTTAGTAAAAATTGTGACACGGATAAGCCTCAAAAACAAATGAAGTAATATCACATAAAACTTTATATGGTACAAAAGGTGAAACTCAAAAACCGAGTGATACCTATGTACGAGTCTAGAAAAATTTATTTTTAAATATATTTGTTCGATATTTGCATTAACATCGTATAACATAGTATAACCGAAATGAAACTAAATATAACATCAAAAAATATTATTGGTTGATTATCGTTTCATTTATTTGGGCTATTATTGTTCATTCATACAAGTTATTGTAATTTATTTTATTCAATTTATACAATTTATACAAATTTACAAATATTATTTGTTATTGAATATTATTTGAATATTATTGAATATTATTGAATATTATTGAAGGGGGGCTTAGTATTAAAGTACCGTAAGTAGTCAGACAAATAAATACGTAATAAGTAACGGTAATATATAACTGATATTCGTCAATAGTGTGTATATACGTAGCTGGTACGTAGAGGTAGGTACGTACGTACGTACGTCGTAGGTACGTACGTAGGTACGTAGGTACGTACGTAGGGAAGTATAACTGAGAAGTACGTACGTAACGTAACCACGTAAGTGAGTATATATAAGATATACGTAGCTACGTGGGTACGTACAGTACGTGCGTGGGTATATGGTACGACGTACGTACATACCCACGTACATACGTATGTACGATACGTATATATCTATATATATCTGATATGTACGTATCAGGTATTGTACTGTACAATAATTACGAATCATTAATATTACCATTTAAAGAAAAGGTATAAGCTTTAACCTACGTCTACGTCATAAGATATATAGATAAGGTCCGCCAAATTACTGTATATTATTTTGTAACAGGAGATTAGATTTTAGCAGAGCCACGTAGAGGTAATAGAATATCCAATAAAATTAGGTTTGTAATAAGAGAATGAAATTTAATTGGTTTTGTGGGGAGATAGGGTTTAGCCCTTGTTAGCCAATAAAAGAGTGAAATTTTTATTACGGACAGGTTAGAAACCGGTTTTTACTCAATTAGTAAATTACCATATATTGTTACATGATTAAAAAGGATTTAAAAAAGTTCACGATTTGTAAGATTTGTAAAGGATTAGTTGAGTTTTTCTAATCAAGCTCACTTAAAAAGTGTGACCAAAATGTTATTCCAAATAAATACAAATGACGTTAGCGTCTATTGCTGTATAGCTAGGTGCTAACAAGAATAAGTTTTCTTTTTTAAAAGCCACAGTATTATTTAATATTTATATGATAAATATTTAATAAATATTTATAAAATATTAACACCACTTTATTATTTATGGACCACACGAACATGTTTCGAGTGACACATAGGTTAAACAAGATTTACATGCTTATTTTATTCAAGAAGGACACTTGTTTGAGAAAGGATACATTGAGCATTTATGTTTTTAAGAGTCTATTTTCGGATAAATATTTGTTTTTTTATAAACGTCGATTTTGTTTACATATTTCCTTGTACAGAAAAAGGAAAGAATTTGATGGCGACATATTATTGAAATATTATTATTAAAAAAAATATTATTAAAATATTGAAAATTTATTAAAAATATTTTTTAAATATATATATATATATATATATATATATATATATATATATATGAATATTATCAATATTATCAATTATTATTTATTATTTTTATTATTGAAATTTATAGTAATTTAATTTATTTATTTAGATTTAAAA